CCCCAAAACCCCAAAACCCCAAAACCCCAAAACCCCAATATCCAAGAAAACTTTAAATTTACATCTTTTTAGTTATGGGGGTTCATAGACTTTCGAGCTATCCTGAGGGATTTAGTGGGTGTTAAACATATTAATGTTATCCTTGAATGTCTTAAGGTGGTTTATCTTACAATGCTCTATGAACATCTTGAACCTCGGCTCTATAATCTCCCGAGCAAGTTCTGTATGATCCATATTACTTTTATGGCTATTTTCAATTTTGCCATCTCTGTCCATGACATATTTGAGACAATTCTCTTCAGCCTGGAGTTTTCTGTATTCAATGAAATCCTTTTCTCTCATTTCTAGTGGAACATCAAACTTATCTTCATTAGTTGATATCTCTAATATTTTCTGACGATTTTTGTCTACATATTAGACTAAATTGGCTGACTCTTGATTATAACCCATATTCTTTGTGAAGAGTCTTGATCCGCTCATAATTCTTCATCAAGTCATAACTCTGGGAGGTCTCATCAGGGAAAAGATTATTCATCTTTATAGTTTCTCCAAATTTCATGATGTTGTTCATGTCAATCTTTGTTTCAGCTGAGTTTTGCAGGTTGACTTCTTGAATCATCTCTTGGGCTGCAAAATCAAGGTGGGTTTTCAGAATATTCCCTACTTGCTTATTCTGATTTAAATCTAAAGGTCACCCAGAGTCATACAGAAATAAGCTTTTTGAAGTAAATGCATTTTTCTCTGATAGGGAGTCTCCTTTTTGGCTGGCTTAGCTGCCTTTTTGGACTCGGTTTCCTAGAAATAATGAAGATGACTTTCCTTAATGGAACTAATCTCTCCTTCCTTTTCCTTATCAATCGTTTTATTTAGTAATGGTATACTTATTGAAATGCTTAATGTCTGCTTTCAGAGGTAACCTGAGAGCTTTCTTTTTGAGTTTTGGTCTTTTTAAAGATTTTTGAACTATCTTTTGGTGACTAGACCAAGGTCTTTGTAGTCCATTTACTATAGTTTATTTGTATTTTGTAAAATGGAAGTAATGAAATTTTAGGTAGCCTACTTCTATTTTTGACTTTGAATATGTGTCTCTCCTGCAGAATGTTGATAGACAAATTTTGGAGGATACTTATCGTCGTCAAGTGTGCTATTCAAGCGCTTTTGATTGAATTTTAGATTACATCTTCGTTCTGAAATTTAGCGATTATCATACTTATGGCTTTGCTATGATTTGTGTTATATCCTAGTGCTGTGTCTCAGCTTTTATCTGCTGCAACCTATATGTTGAATTAATATGTCTTGACTTGAGGGGTATACGCATCATTAACACTAAAAAAATCTGTTTGTAATCTTCTCTTTCCTTTGCTTATCTATACAGCCATTAAGCCTAGTCAAAATGCCAAAATAGGGGAACTTCCTTTGTTCTATCATTCCTCTAATCCCACTAAATTCCTAGCTTGCTTCCAATGTGGCATTTAGAGTCTTTAGGACCCCTTTTGGGGAAGGGAATGTGTGAGTAGTTTAGCTTACTTCTGGTTCGGACTGGGGTTGAAGAGTTTTTGGATGGTAGTAACCCTCATTTCCTTTCCCAGTCATTTCCCTTGCATTCTGCACAATTCCTCTTTCCCAGACGACTACAGTCTCTCAAAGAACCAGCTGTATTTAAGCAAGTAATTTACTGAAGAACTTCCTGTGTCCAAAAGATTTTGGAGGCTGAGAAGGAGACTTTGGATGCCTAAACCGTTAGAAGAGAATTACCGTAAGCGAGTCGAAGGATTACGAGGTTTTATAGCGATTTTGAGTGGTTTGACTGACTTTTGGCCTGTTGTGAAGGAGTCTGGAAGATGAATTCGTTCGGAGCGTTGAAGCTGATATAATCACTGTATTATTTCTTTTTACAAATCTTAACTAGTATGGACAAAAATATAAATGCCCAGTTTGGCTAAGCTTACACTTTTAGAGTCAATTTATTTTTGGGTTCTTTTCTTGGAGTTTTTCGACTAAATTTCCGTTCTGCTCTCACTTTATTCCTGCTTACTTTAAACTCCTTGATCACTGTATGGCCTTTATTTGTTCTAGAAATGAAGCATGATTTCGACAGTTTTCAGAGAATGAGATCAAAATAACTTTCATGAAGAAATATTGAAGAGATTTCACGAGAGGTAAATTTCAACACCCAATGAATTTTCACTCGTTAGGAAGAAGACATGTAGTATTTTTGATTATTACTATAATAATTATTAGCTTTGTCATACTGGATTACCAACACTAGTTTACCTTATACTTCTGTTTGATTACCTTCCGGTTTGAAATCTGTTCGGTAGACTTAACCTCCTCTATCTGTAGACTCATTTATATTTTATTTGTTAATAATTAAGAGGGGTTTTGGGGTTTTGGGGTTTTGGGG